TTGGATAGTTCGAAGTGGGGTAAGTGAAGTGAAGAACTAGGTTAGTGTGAAGTGGGGTAAGTGAAGTGAAGAACTTGGATAGTTCGAAGTGGGGTAAGTGAAGTGAAGAACTAGGTTAGTGTGAAGTGGGGTAAGTGAAGTGAAGAACTTGGATAGTTCGAAGTGGGGTAAGTGAAGTGAAGAACTAGGTTAGTGTGAAGTGGGGTAAGTAAAGTGAAGAACTTGGTTAGTGTGAAGTGGGGTAAGTGAGGTGAAGAACTTGGTTAGTGTGAAGTGGGGTAAGTGAAGTAAAGAACTAGGTTAGTGTGAAGTGGGGTAAGTGAAGTGAAGAACTTGGTTAGTGTGAAGTGGGGTAAGCGAAGTGAAGAACTGGATTAGTGTGAAGTAGGGTAAGTGAAGTGAAGAACTTGGATAGTTCGAAGTGGGGTAAGTGAAGTGAAGAACTAGGTTAGTGTGAAGTGGGGTAAGTGAAGTGAAGAACTAGGTTAGTGTGAAGTGGGATAAGCGAAGTGAAGAACTAGGTTAGTGTGAAGTGGGGTAAGTGAAGTGAAGAACTGGATTAGTGTGAAGTGGGATAAGCGAAGTGAAGAACTAGGTTAGTGTGAAGTGGGATAAGCGAAGTGAAGAACTGGATTAGTGTGAAGTGGGATAAGCAAAGTGAAGAACTAGGTTAGTGTGAAGTGGGGTAAGTGAAGTGAAGAACTAGGTTAGTGTGAAGTGGGGTAAGTGAAGTGAAGAATGTATTATTTTCTATAAGAATCTCACTACAATAAGAGGTTTGGAAATTAGGACAGCTTGCAGTAGCAAATGACTTTTTAAGGTCAAGTTAGTCCACAATTAAACATTTCAGAGACCTGGATTATTGTTAACCAGACAGTTAGAAACAGTCCAAAACTGTCTATGTGAAAGTTCATAAAGAAAACAGATCACTCTACAGATAGTTAAGTTTTTGTATATCGAAGAGCTCTCAAAAACAGTAAACTACTCGATGTCACAAATACTTAATGAAGTTTACAAATAACAAAATAAGGACTGCGATCTCTAGCAAGACTAGCTGTGTTTTTTTTTCTCGGAAGGTAGCATGTTTAAACAAGACTTTATGGCAGAATAAGTTTAAGGTAACATAAAACAAATAAGATAAATTAGCCTAAAGGAAAATAAAGCACGTAAAAGAAACTGCAATACAGTAGGTTAAGTTTTCTTGAAAGTAGACTAACCTACAATATAAACTCCTTGTAAAATGTGGTTATCGTATAGAAGGATAAGACTCTTAGAAACATAGATTATCTTAGTGTATGGTTCAGTGTTTGAAAAATTAAAAGTTATTCTTCAATAAGATAAGCCCTAGAAAGGTTGGTTATTATATAGCTTCTTGAAAAAATGGGTTATCCCAGAGTAGGTTAAGCTCCTTAAAGGGCTGGGACATCATATAACAGTATCTAACTCCCCTGACTAATAATGGCAGTGTTTTGTTAGCTGTTGCCTCAATTTCACAGTAAAGCAGTTCTAGACTGCATCGTCTCACCCAATTTCGTAACGAACTTCAAAACATAAGTTTACTCTAGATCACAGAAATAAAGTCAGAGAAATAACATCTCAATCATCTGTTTATAGAAGCAGCAAACCTTTCTTCATATTTAATAAATAAAAAAGTTCAAGTTTCTTCACTCTATAATGGTATTCAAACAGAGGCAAAAGCCTTGAGCTAAAAGTATATCATTATATATATAACTTTCTTATTTTTTTAAACAACTGATCATTTAATATAGGCTTAATAAAGTTTAAATTAACTTTACTCATAACAAGTAGATACAGCTTATTTAGAATAAAAGCAAAGACCCTTGTGAAGGTTACTGGAAAAAGTAGCACTTGCGCACAATGATGCAGTAAGGTATCTAATATGGATGGAGCAAACGGTAGTTTCGATATCCAGTTTGTAATATCCGATTGGATGCAGATATTTTTGGATCGGATAGTTTAGAAGCTAGTAATAAGCACCGTTGGCCTAGTTAGCGCAATACCCATTACGTGTGATGCATTTGCGCGATATTATGAGATAGTCCATTGATGAAAATGCTATCTCATTATCCGATTCATCACATCGCATACCAAACTGGATACTTGTCCCATCCCTAGTGTCCAAGTTTGGTAATAAGACCAATGCTTGAGATTAAAACTTAAAATGGCAGTTACATTTTCTGGGAACTATCAACCAATTCACAACCTATTTTGTGTAATAGTTTCTTATCTCTAACTCACAAATAGTTTTTAATTATTCAAGGAAAACCCAGAAAACAAGTATAATTCAATTAGATCAAGCTAAGTTTAAAAGATGCTACTTTAGATGGGAGAAATTCATTTTACACTTCCCAATTTATAATATTCCCTCCCTCCAATTCCTGGCAGTGACATTGTTCATTCTTTGTCTTTCATACAAAAAAAGCATGCATATAATGACCGTCATAGCTTTTTGTACAACTACAGCCTTGTAGCAATAAACAAGGTAACAATTAACTCTCATACAAGCTATAAATGTTACAACAAACTAAAGAAGAAATTAAAAGTTGCACATTCAGCCAAAAGGTGTTTACGTGACTCCTTGAAAACAGCATCCTACATTGATATTAGCTAAGAAGCTAGTATCATATTATGATGACTAACAGGAGGATGTGTGATATTTGTATTTTTTTAACCTTTCATGTCAAATGTACATCTAATTATATTTATATCTAAACGTTTTTTTGATTTGAAAAACAGAACCAATCATACTTTGTGCATAAACATAAAACTGGTTGTTAATATAAAAAAAAAAAACCTGCTACATTAAAATGAAAATCTTAATATATATATATATCCAGAAGAAACAGACTATGGTCACATGATATAATATAAGCCTACCTCAAGACAAGAGAAGAATACAATGCTTTCATTATTTAAACATTCCACAGAAACAAATATGCAGTACAGAAAGCTCACATCCACGTCATCTTGGTATGCACATTTATCATACAGACATTGTATGGAAAGACAATATCACAGGTTCTTCGTGTTACTCAAGCCAGAAATAATTGATAAAACAATTAAAGTTAAAAACTCTATTTTTGCACAGGTGGGCAGTAATAATAATCCTTACTTAAGAAACTATAAAGAATGTTCTTAGTGTGAACGTGCAGATGGTCGACAAACTCCTGATACTGGTTACAGCCCGATTTTACTGTTTAGACCTGATCCCCAAGTAGAAGAACCGTAAACGTATTGCAGCAAGAAAGTTATAGTAAACTATTTTAAGTAATTATAAACCACTCATGATTACATATGGCTACTACCAAACTCAAATATTCCTCCATGTTTTGTAGCGGGTTAAATAAAACTAAAATACAGTAAATTCAAACAAAGTAAAAAACTGCTACTTTATCAAACTGAGAGTCAATGAGACCTGGACTACAAGAGGGCAGCTGAACAAGATTTTGATATGAAATGAAAAAATGTGGAAAGCTGGACATAAACAAAACTCAAACATAGCTAGTAGTCTGCGGGAACCACCCTTAAGACCTGTTACTATCCACTTTGAAAGTGATGTAACAAAACACTTTGTACATTATTATCAACTTGAGCAGGAATGCATTTTCACTGAGTGAACAAACACAAATAACATAAAGATACTGAATAAACCTGAGTAACATAATACATTATTCAGAGAAGTGGCACAAGATTGACAAAAGAAAGAAAACTAGCAATGCACCATGTTTCACTAACCAGAATCAATGTCACAAATATGAAAATGTAAACCAGAGAACTGTGATAGCTCACATTTCACAATGATCCAACTGTATACAATTCAGTTTGGAAATGAATCTAACTACAATATAATTTATCTAACCTCTGTTTCAAAGTTACCAAACACAGGCACCTAAAGATAAGAAAGAGAACAGAGAAACAAAGCAGAACACAATCTAGAGATCTATAACATCTATCATCACCTTTAAACTCCGACTATGATGTGTTTTATAGGATTTCCCACAGACTTAAAATCACACACATAAAAAAAAAAATTGTATCTTAATTAATCAAAAGTTTATTCGTATATAGACTTAACTTTAAAGAGAAATATGCCACATGTGATTGAAGAAAAATAATGCTATCCAGAGTAGACATAAACAGTGAATTCAAACGTTAACATATTAAAGACCTAATACAGAGGCCGCTCTTCACCCCATCTAATTTCCTACAGGCAGCTTTCACTGCAGAACCTTTGAAGCCTTGGTAGGCAAAACATAACAAAAAAAATTATCATTTTAGCATGCTATTTTTGATACATTCATTCATTTACTATTTGTGATCTTCTGGCAGTAATAAACACATGGATGACAATATAAAAATATTTTAGAAAGTATGATTTGTTTAAATAAGCAAATAATATGTTCTTCACATCTTGTATATGGTAATTTTGCCTACCATGGCTGACACACACAAAAAACCCTCCATCAGGGATTACGGCATCCCAAGAACAACTTCTATGGAAGACCACAGGTATCCTTATCAAGGCTTGAAAGACTAAAAAACACCAGTATTTAAAATGTTTTTCTACTCTAAGTTGAGATATATGTATTACTCTTATAAGGTCCTGAGACAAACACAATATTTATATTGATGATACATTTTTTACGGAACTGAATTCATCTCATGTAAAATTTTCTATCAAACAAAACAACAATAAAAAAAATTACCAAGCTTATCTATACTAAGCTATGACAAGAAACATGGCAAGTTGTTTAGCAGCACAAGTGAGTGAATGAAATGAAATAAGCTACCATTGCCAAGAAAAGTAAATGAACCTTTTTCAAAGTCAAGAACGAACAAAGTATTCTGTGTGAAACACAAACTAATATTTTTGTTCTCAAACATACAGTTTTTGGTTAGACTTAGGGCTCCATTTATCTTCATACCTAATGATGTACCTATGAATGTTTATTACTTTTTTTTTCCTAATTAATCTTATCTATACAGATACAATGTTGATACTTGAACAGTCTTCTACTGTTAACACACCTTTTATTTGGCTGGCTCTCGGTTACTGTTTAACACTATGACATTAGGGTAACTTCTTAAATATCCTGTTTGATTAAAAGCTTTAACATTTTGCCACAAAATAAAATATTTAATACATAACTGCTAAATCAATTAATTTAGAAAATAGTGGAATGAGTCACTTTTTTTTGTAAATCTGTTTTCTTTTTGAAATGCTATCTCCAAGTGAAGAAACAACACTACAAGGCACCACACACAACATACCAACATGAGCCATCATGATCAAAACACAATTGCATATCTGTTTACGTAGCATTTAGTAGCACAGCAACATCAAGTTGCATAGGTACAGCTTGGAGAGGACATCATTCAGTTATTGAGTGCAATTCCAAGAGATCTACTATAAAGTTATCTCCAACCAGATCACTTTCTCTTGCGTTTCCGTGGAGCAAGATGTGACAGAGACGGATGTAACGTGTCTAAGGCATCACGAGGTAGAAGTGTGACTGGAATGGTACGACGAGACATTTGGGCAACTTGCGATTCACACACCCATTCATCTGGAATACTGCAAATTGAAAATAATAATAATTAATAAACAAATAAAATGACCTCCCTCACACACTGAGATGTCAGTCTAACAATTTAGTCATTTTCTCCTTTAAATCTATAAGCTGCTTCAGCAATACTACCTTCACATTCATATCTTTTTCTCTGCATTCAAACATACCCACAAAGTACTAGTACATCTAGGTAATCTTACAATCAGGTAGATATGAGGTCATCACATCATGGAATAGTTTCCCAATGATCTGGAATGTGGACCATCTGAACAAGACTGAGGCTCAGATGCTCATTTCATTCTTCAGGAAAACTGAAAGTTTCAAATTTTTTTTATTTCTGATTAACGTACTATTTAAATATATAACTTCAGTTTCAATACGTCTATGAAATAATTTTCTCAAAACAGGAATGCAGGTCTAAATCACCATCGTCTTCAAAGCAACTATAAACTTACAATTTCCAGGCAATTTAATATTAGTGCAAGAAACATGAGTTATTTAGAAGTAATAATAACCTAGATATTAGTACAAATGTTACAAATATATATATAATTTCAAGATTCTGAATATGGTATATGAACCTTGCATGTTATATGAATACATACGAGCTCAAATTTAATGTTGGTTAAGCTGGCAAGAAGTCAGCGGTCTTCAAATGTTTAGTGACGAACCGTCAAGAAGACTCGTATTTTTCTGCCATTTGATAATTCGGGTACGATTATGAATATTCACAAGAATCAAAATTATTTTTAAAAAAATTTGTTGCAACCATAACACTAAGGGAAAACCCACACTACAACAATTGATCAATGACCTTTTGTCAGTAGCTTGATGCAAATTATTCTCACCTGTCCTAAGAACAGTGTATAAAAGGAGCCAAGAAGCATTCATTTTTTAAATTCATATTAGGAAATGTAATTATTATAACAAACGTGAATCTAAATTTTGATAATATATATAAAAAACATGAAATTAAAAACCTCATGCTCTTCTTGAAGATTGACATCAGTTGAATAGTTATATCTGCTAAGGGCACGTCCACATTAATATGCTATACAAAATTAGTTGCGAGTACGTCCACATTAATATGCTATACAAAATTAGTTGCGAGTACGTCCACATTAATATGCTATACAAAATTAGTTGCGAGTACGTCCACATTAATATGCTATACAAAATTAGTTGCGAGTACGTCCACATTAATATGCTATACAAAATTAGTTGCGAGTACGTCCACATTAATATGCTATACAAAATTAGTTGCAATGCCTATACAATAGACATGGGTGAATTCTAAAGTAACGTATAGAGAAGACAGCATATCTCAAAATGGAGTATTTGATGGGTAAGGGAATAGAAAAAACTCTTGAATAAAAATTGTGGATACATTTTGGACAAAAAGGTGTGCGACTTCTAAAACAATCGCTCATTAAACTGTTTTAACAATCCAAGGTCAATTTTATAAACTTCAGTTTTTCTCTTTACATTCACCAGTGAATACATTTTTAGTTACAGTTTTGAACACCAAAAGCCAGGTTCAGTTGTGCAACTTTAGATTTTTTTTGTTTCACATATATATATATATATATATAAATGTTTCAGTTAAACTTTACATCATCCAGTCCAGCTGAGGTGTTCTGAAAGGCCTCTTGAACAGTATCATGTGGTAGATAAAAAACATATCTGAAATGGTATATTTACACATCTGAGATTTGATAAAAATAACGAACAAATTAAGATGAAGGTGGAAAAAAAGAAAAACATCGAGAGCCTAACGTGACTTTTATCATAAATATTATGCCTAATGGTTTATGCTGCACTTGCCAGCTTTCAGCATTGAAAACAGTAACCTTACAAAGTTTTTGTGGTGACTTGTTTGAGACCAAACCCATATTTGAATGTCATAAGCCTGCAGACTTACCACTGAGCCAATGGGGAGGGGGGGGGTTATTTGTTTGTTTTAGTACAAAGCTACAAAATGGATTACCTGTGCTCTGTCCACTATGGGGAATAAATCCCCAGATTTTATTGTTGACCCACCTGGGGATGAGACTAAAACATCTAAAATACTATTTTTAAAAACTTCTAATTTGAAATCTGTGAATAAAAAAATTGAGGAATGTGTGCAATGTTTTTATTATTGAAATACTTTCCTTGTTATGTTTGTCAGTAAAACTTAATCAAACTTCATATGCTTTGGCTAACTATACGTGTTCAGCAACAAGCCAACTATAGAAAAAATATAAAATTCGTAAGTAAAGCACACAAATCATTAACAATTCTAAGTCCTGCCAACTTAAAACAAGTTAATATTTCTGAAATCATAAGAATCTCTTTTTGTTTATTATTATTATCATAACTAATGGAACGGTATACATACATTTGTTCTGGTAGCCAGTGTAGCAACATTGTCACTTTCCCAGATTCTTCCACACGCCGCCCTTGGACCTAGAGAGAAGAGATTAAAAATAATAAGTTACTGAAGAACAAATGTCAGAACTGTTAACTTTTACAATGGTTACAAACCTTTGCAAACAATCAGTTGTTAATTTTATTCACTAATATATTTACAGAGGCAAACATATAAGTTGTTATACTAATGAAAATGAGTGAGAGCCATGTGCATTTTAATTCAAAGAAACTGGATAATTCAACATACCACAGAGCCAAACTGTGGGTTACTGATAAATGTAACATATTTACTAAACAACTAAGACAAACAAACTGGTCACATTCCACAGTCACTCTGATAAACAGTGCTTCAACTAAGAAACCAGTCAATGTTTGACAAGGGGCCTCATAAGTGTGGGGGGAAAAAAAAAAAGGTACAGTCTAAATGATATTGTACAGTCAGATTAGTAAACAAAGAGTTAACAAAAGACATATAGAGTCTTAACAAAATAAACTCTGGACTAACTACAATGTATTTATCAAACACATTTGGCATTTAATAAATACATTATGAAGTCAGTTGAAAAGTTATTTTTGTTAAATTTTTTTGTCCCATAGTGGGTCTATGGTATAATCAAGGACTTACAGTGCTAAAATCTGGGGTTTTATTAATTAACTGTAATGGACAGAGCAAAGGTGGCCCATCATACAGCTTTAAGCTTAAAACAAACAGTTAGGTTTTTTTTACCAACAGTTTAAAAAATGACTAAAGGCTTATACCTAGTGATGTCTCATCATACCTATTCTGGAAAGTTTTAAACTTTGCCAACATCAACGTTTTACATAATTTAAATTAAAAATATCAACTATATATCATACAATATATAAGAAAAAAACACCAAAAAATAGAGCTTACAATACTATGGAATGTGACTGCTCCTGGCTTTCCATGGAGGTCTACCTGAGTAACTGCATTCAATTCCATAAGTTCATGTCTTATATGCTCCATTATTCCAGCATCAAAGAAGTCTTCTGTTTTGACTGCTCATAAAACACATGTACATGTTAGAAGTTATTCACAAAGCTAAAACATTATGGTTATGTGTCAAAAGAACAGCTCCATTAGTCAAAAACAAACAGTTCTGGTGAAAAAACGATATTCTTCGATCACAAGGAAGTACATGCTGTCTTTTATCAGTGTTTTTGTTTTCGTTTTTGCGTTTAAAAAAATTACAAGAACTACAGCAAAAATATATTTTTTTTACTTTTAGGGTTAACTCCACACACTTTAATTTTGAAATTGTTTAATTTTTATATTCTCACTATCCATTGCCATTGGCTTCTCAACACACTATAAGTAAAAATTAGCCTACACATACTTATTTTGACAAATATTTTGCATGTGTTATCTCTATTTTTGAAACATTAAACTTAAAATCTGTCATTATTTAATAACTAAATAATACTGGGGAAAACGTTGACATTTTACAAGTTTGCATAACAGATGGCGCTACACAAATAGCACAAACACATTTCACCCACAAATTTCTCTATTATACTTTATTAAAATAAATATTCTTCTTGAATATTGTATACGAGAAGCTGAGTTGATCTCTAGTATTACTTTTTCTAATAAAGTATTTCCTCAAAATACATTAGCAGTTAAAAATTGTAGCTTGAATATGAAATATTTGAATGAAACGTTTAACTTAAAAAAAAAAAGCGGATGAAACAAGGGATAAATAACAGCAGGTTTTCGAAACATTGGGATAATTGTTTTTTTGTCAGTGTTGATCTTAAATTGGTAATTTTTAAATAAATACTCTATCTTGATTTTATCCATTTTATTTTATGATGTTAAATTTTTCTATATTACAACTGAGATTGAAAAAAATTATCCATCTGATTTTTTACTTTAATCTTCAATTATTGTAAAAAAAAAAAGGCATCAACTTTAAACTGGTCTTGACCGGTTTGGTTTGTTTTGAATTTCGCGCAAAGCTACATGAGGGCTATCTGCGCTAGCCGTCCCTAGAGGGAAGGCAGCTAGTCATCACCATCCACCGCCAACTCTTTGGCTACTCTTTTACCAACCACATTATAACGCCCCTACGACCTGGCCGGAGTCGACTTTACGATTTAAAATTAAAT